TTATTAATGAATAAATAAAGAAATAAATAATTATAAATAAAATATATAAATTTAATAATATACTAGCTAAATTAATAAAATAAGAGAAAAAAGAAATTCTACTAAGAAAACTATCTATAACTAAAATAACTCAAATATATTATGTAACTTTTCTTGATATAATCAGATAATTATGATATAGTAAGTCACATATAGTGCAGTATGTGATGCAATAATAATCTGTAAAATAAAATATAAATCTGATATAATTATTCTAATTTATTACAGAATTATTCTAATTATATAAAGTTAATACAAAAATTTTTATTAATAAAAATAAAATTTTATTAATAAAAATTTTGTATTAATTTTATAATTAGAGTAACTCTTTCAAAAAAAATCTGAAAAATCTGAAAAATATATATTAAGCTATAATTAATTATATTAATATTATATAAATAAAAAATATTATATTAATAATAACTTAAAATTTCTTAATTTTATAATATTTAAAATTTTTAAAAATTAAAAGATCAAACTTAATTTAATTTAAATTAAACTTTAATTTAAATTAAAATTCAGAATTTAATAAATTAAGATCTTTAAAAATCTTTTATTTTTATGAAAAATTTAATTTAAAGATAAAATTTGATATAAAATTTGATATTTTATTTAATCTTTTTTATTAACAATTATTCTTAGTTAGAATTATATATAATATTAGCTGAAATTAAAATCTTAATATAAGAATTAGTTATATAGTAAAAAATAATATAAGATATCTAATACTATATTAAAATACTAATTTTTTATTACAAATTTTATATATATTAATTAAATTAATTAATTAAAAGTAATTAAAAAAAATTTTTAAATATATAAATATTTATTTTTATATAATAATATCAAATTTTTAATCATATATAAAATTTAAAATATTATAATTTTTTAAAATTATAATTAATAAAAATTTATTTTAATAAAATTATAACTTAAATAAAAAATAACAAATCTATAAAAGAGATTTTTGTTAAAATTATTTGTTTTTAAATTATAATACTTTTTATATTATATATAAATAATAAATATCTTATGTTATTCTTCACTATGTAAATAATCTTCTACTTATATAGAAAATTTCTTTAAAGAAAATATTTTATATATTTATATATAAGAATTCTATTCATTTTTATATCAAGTTTTAGTCAAATTAAACTAATATTTACTTATTAATTACCTAATTTTCTTCATATTATTATATTTTAGTAATTTTATTTCATTTTATTAGTTTATTTTATATTTTATTATAGTAAACTTTAAATATAATAAAAATTCAATGAAATATTAATTCTTTCATACTTGTATTTCTTTATAATTATTATTTAGTTGTAATTACTATTTGATAATTATTTAATTTGACTTTTTCGAGAGAGATGACTATAATAACAAGGCTATCTTTTAGATAACACGAAAAAATATATTAATTTTATAACAATTTGTCTAAAAATATTGTAAGATTTAGATTAATTATATAAAGCTTTACATATTTTTTAGAGTTTTAAATAGTTGTCAAAAAGCTTCAGTTCTCAAAAAACTCATCTAAAAAATAGCTTTGTATAGAGATTTGATTATATTTTGAAAATGTAGATATTGATCTCTCTAAAAGAACACAAGTAGAACCAGAAAATCCAGTTCTTATAAAGAGGTGATTTTCAATATAAACTAATTCAATGGTTCTCAAAATCCCGTTTTTATGACTGTATTTTGAAATTTGATTTCAATAACGTAAAATTTAAGTTTAATTTAAAATCACACGTAATTCGAGAGTTCAAATATGGAATTTTTATTGTTTTAGCGTTAAAAACGTTAATGCAACTTGTAACCATAAAATCAAATAAATGAAAACCTGATTTTAGAAATTCGGGCGATCATTCTTCAATAGGATATATTCTGGAGATCACATGAGCTCGTAAAATATGGTTCGAGAGTATCTACAATTTTGTTGATTTGAATTGTTCAAATAAAAAACGAAACGAGTAAACGTGGGTTAACAAACTACCAGCCACACGAAGACCATATTGTGTTCTGTCGTGTGAATAGCTTATACAAACAATTAGAGTTTTCTCAATTTTTTTGCTTTGTTATTTTTAGATGGAAGAATGGGTTGTTTATTCGCGTCAAAATCATTATTATTATTCGTAATTATTGTTGTAAATGTGGATGTTGTTTGTTATCTGTTTGCATATTTTTTCTCTCTTGACGTGATTAATATAATTTAATTTAAGCAAAAAAAAAATGAAAATTGATATTAATTATTAAAAGCACGTGGATAAATAGTAGTTAAAAGACAAGAAATAATAGTGGCAATGTCCATTATACAAAAAATCAAAGGTAGAAAAATTTGAGACAAACAAACACAAAAAAAAACTTTTGGAGGTAATGTTTAATGAAAAAATAATAATAGGCCACCTGCTGATTGTTGTTGTGTGCCGAGAAGGTTTTTCAAAGGTCTACTGTACTTGGTATTAACTTACAGCACCCACTATACCGAATCTAGAAGAGGTAAAGATGTGAACAATAGGTGGTAGGCGCGTCTATTGTGTATGTGTACAGCATGACGATTGCATGTAAGTGCTAACGATGATTTTTAATCATTTTTCATGTACACGCATTTGAATAAGACCAAAGAAAACTTTGATGGAATGAATACACATAAGGTTTTTGGTTGGAGTACTGGATAAGAATCCTCGACTATACTTTTTTTGTAGTTGTTTGACATTCTTTACCACTTATGAATCATCATCATCTAGAGAATAAAGTAACGATGAGTCGGGCAAAAAAATTAATTTTTCTAACATCTGGAAATTTTTTGTATAGCTAGCAATAAAGAATAGGGAATTTTACGTTCGATTGGACATCTTTGAGAGAACAATGGGTGGAGTGGAAATTGATCATGTAATCTTTATGCATATTGTACGTGTGTATGTGTATGTATGTAGGTGAGTTAGTGGAGTAGGTTTTCGGAAGACAGTTTGAGAAATAGTTTGCAAGATTAATTTAGGTTTTAATTTGAAGAAATACCAACAAGTATTCGAACGAGAGAGATAAAGTAAGTGATAAAGTACAATATACGTCATTTTTTTTTATGTGTTGTCTGCTAGTGATTGGATGAAACTGTGGATGGAGGGAAGTTTTGTAATTAATATAGGCACATTGTTGATGGTTTATTATTTTCGTTAGACGGATCGAAACGAACAAAAAAAATCAGTAAGACGGAGAACAAGGATGAATTGTTTTAGCGGCTCTAACAAACAGCTCTCATACGCGCGCACATATACACACATACTTACCTCCTCCTCCTCTCCTACTACTACTATTATAGAATCAGAGAGAAAAAAAGAAAGCAAGAAGGATGGATCAGATTTCTCTTGTATCCGTTGATGATAATAATGGTAAAAGCAATACGAAAAAATAAAACAATAAGAGGATAAATAATATCCAATTATTCCAGTTATTATACAATTTCGGACAAAATCTTGCATTATAAGCATCTTGCCTCTCTCGCGTCAAGAAAAGAATAATGCACTCTAGAAAATTGTCTCCCAAAGAAAACGTTAATCGTATCCACATCAAGTAAAGATAGGGTCACGTTATCTATTCACATATGCTGTTATTGTACATTATCATTATTTATTGTATTTTCTATTCAATTCATATGCACACAATAAGAGTTTTTGTTATTATCGTATCGCTTATATGTATATGTGTAAAAAAAAGAGCAAAACACCATAACACATCTTTTGCCATTGTTCTTTATGAAATACAAAAACAAGAAGTCATCCAATACCAATAATAGTACAACAGATACCACAATGAATGAAAATCTTTAAATTAAACTTCACAATACAAAATTTAAATTATATAATAGTGATAATAAATAAATAGAGGGGGAATTACATACATATATAAAGAATTGCAGTTTCTCGAACTTTTCTCAACTAACAAACTCTCCTATATACATATATATATACACACACCCCCTCCACATCCAATATAATTCTTTACAAAACTTTCAACCTGCAGAATTTCATATTTTTTTATTTCTTGAACCCAAACACTCAATAACATTCCGTGTCAACTGACAGCAACCTTTTACAACATCTCTTTTTTTCATATTTATCATTAATTACATCATCTCACCCCCACTTTATCTCGTCCTATACATCAATCAATCAAAATGGGTTCAAGAAATCTGCAATATGAGGTTCTCGTCATTCCAGCGAGTCTTCTTAACCCAACAAACAATTCAATAACTACCAACAACAATCATCATCACCACCATCATCATCATCATCATCATCATCATCATACATCATCAACATCCGCTCAATCAATTCGATACGTGACCAAAATTAAAAAATTTCGTTGTAATCAGGAAAATCTAAAACCATATTGGATCCCAGATGGTTTTCGCGCAGTTCTGATGCCAAAACAAGATTTTCACATAGCTCATCAACATCATCAACAACAAGAGAGCGTATCAAATTGATTGAATCAAATTAATTCGATGAAACACACTTCATTCAGATCTCGGGAAAATGTTGCCGAGCTTCAAAGAAGAGGCATAGTTTGTTACTACGCAGTAATAATCTTTCCTAATTTCTACCTCGCGTTGACTATCCTCACGACATCCGCCTGCCAATCACACCGAAATGTCGTCAAATAACCCGACTTTTGGAAAAAGACGATTGCTTCTTTATCGTCGGAAAATGTCAACGCTTATGCATTTGCATTCACCATCCACAAATACCATTCATCTCTAGCATTGTTCGATAATAATGCAGAGTGGGTATCAGTTAAGCGCTTTCAGTTTACGCACGCCAATATCATCATCACTATCAAAAATTATGGAGGACATTTTTTCTTAATGAAAAAGTTGTTCAAAAATATGCAAGGGTGTCATCAATAACAGAAACATTCTTTGCATGCCTTTATGAGTACCGTGAAAAATCTTCACTTTCCAAATCAATAAACAACATACACATCAACTCTCAAGAAGACTCGACTCGGACGACACTAATGATTACGTCATGTCATTAATCACTATATAACATACATATATATATAAATATATCACTTCTTCTTTTATATATATATATTTTCAAAACAATGAAGCTTCAATTTAATAACAATTTTCGTCCGCATTATCATATTAACTTTTGTATTTGGCTTGCTCTTATTGTTCTCCGGGGCCAATGTGAAAAATTCACAGTTAATCACGTGAATTATATCATTTCGATTTGAAGCTTCGTAAACTTGACGCACTGAAATTATTCTATTAAATCAATGCATTATATTCGAATAACCCCGACTTTACCATTTATTTATCTATTTATATTTATCCACTTTTTTTATCTTTTTCGAAACCAATCAATATCAATTAATCAAGTCGCATTTATAATATGTGTGATTCGTCAAGTTTATTGACTTCCTGTGGGAGGGAAGGAAATTTACGTAACTAATCATACAGAAATGGGCTTTTTTAACGTTATTTTATTCTGTCTTATACCACTATCAACATTTTTTATATTATTATTTTTTTATTATTATTTTTTTTATTATCTATTATCTATTATTATCTATTATTATCTATTATTATTTTTTTATTATTTTTTATTATTTTTTTTATTATTATTCATAAATATTCCGATTTTTTATTTTTTCTCTTCGACTTTTTGTCCTTGTGGGAGGGGAAAAAAGTCGAATAGAAAACGTTGATTAGTATTTATTCTTTTATATCTCTATTGATTGAATCCCTGTGGGAGGGGAGAAAATCAATAAATGATTCGACTATTTTTTTCTATTTATTCTTCAAACTTATTTTACTTTTCGAGATAAAGTAAAAAATATATATAAGAAATCGTAAATTAATTCAAAGTAAGATTTGACTCTCTGTGGGAGGGGAGAAAAATCCGAAGCGAGTTAATTCTTTACGATTGTTATTGTCATTGAAACTTTATTTTCTTATATTTTTTATTTTATTTTCATTTATTTTTTTGTCTATCCAACTAACGAACCAAATCACGTGTTTATCCATTATCTATATCTATTTTAATCGTATCCTCTTTCATCCCTGTGTGAAAAACAAACAAAAGAAATCGATAATTCCAACTTTTTCATGCTAGTGTACAAAGTAAATTTCATTTCAAAAAATTTGATGCATAGATTTTGATTGAAAGTTTCTGTGGGAGGGAACTTTTGTCAATTCTTTGGATAGATTTTTTGTTCTTGAGTTTACTAATACACTAACAAACGAAAAAGTGAATTGTGTTATATTATTCGTTTAATTATTCGTTCCTGTAAATATTTTTGTGCGATTTTTTCTTAGTATCGACGATAAAGGAATGACGGGAGATATTTTTTCGATCTTTATTTTATATGTGTGTAGCATATATAAGATCATTAGTTCTTTAAAATATTTAGTCGAACATATTATCTCCCTTATTATTTTATTTTCTGCTTATTCGTCAATCTATTCTATTCGATTTTTTGTACAGTATAAACTCAAAATTTTTTTTTACTTTTCAATTTTAAACAAGGATCCTATTTTTTTTCTTTTCTATTTTTTCTTCTCTTTTTTTTCTGTTATCCCGCTGTAAAAATTTTCTATTCCAACTTTTTGTTTACATCAATAAATAAAAATTTACATATACAAAAAAATTTTTGTCGTTGGATTTAATTAAGTGATAATATCTAACATTGCTAACTCCTCATTATTAAATCAATCTATAAAGTATATATCACATGATTATAAACCTTGGTGAAACTATGGTGGTGATCGTCATCGATGAGCCAACACTAATTTACTAGAACTTTGAGGCTGTCTTTTTAGACAATAAGAAAATATTTCTTTTACAATAACTTCTAAAAATATTGTAAATTAGTTACATAAAGCTTTTACTTATTTTATACAATTTGCTTCTTTTGGAGTTTTAGACAGTTGTCTAAAAAGCTTCGGCTCTCAAACACTTTGTCTAAAAGAGCAGCCTCATAACCTAGGCGTACCTCTATTTAATTTGGACGACGATAAATTCTAGCAATTCTCTAAATATTAATATCCTTTATCATGAAAAATGCATTCTTGGTCATTTTGCCTTTTTTCCCGAAAATTTATAAAATTTTTTTAGTGATTACTTGATTATAAGCATTATTTTTTTAAAAAGTTTTTCAATTAATTTTATCTTGCTTTAAGTCTCTCCTTTGGCTCGATTTTAAGAGGCTTTTAAAGCTTTAGTTTAGATATTAATTTTTCCACAAATTCAGTTTTTATATATTTTCTTATTCTTTCTTTGTTAAATTTGCATTAATATTTGATTAAAAAAATCAATATCTGTGTTCTTTTTATGAATAAATTCCCGAAAATAAGTTACTATTTTTTGGAAGTCTAGCTTATTTTCGGAGTTAAATTATTAAGCTTATATATACTTTTTTTGCACCCAATTTTGACTGAAAAATGGGGTAGCTTATTTTCGGGAATTTTACATTAATTGGTAACGTTGGTCTGTTTACAAACGCATTGGTTTAGGTTTTATTGTATAAAAAAATACATTTAATTTTGTTTATTGATTTTGAGCTTTTGAACTTATGTTTTTTCGTTAAAATTATGCCAACCCGAATTTTGGCAAATTCCGAATATAGACTATTTTTCGTGATTTATTTTTGATTTTATAGTAAAGATAAAAAATTGTATGATGTCGAATATTCTCTTTGATTAAATTTTTAAAGAAAGTTCGAATGAAATCAAATTTTAAGCTGCCTGAAAACTTCAAATTTGATAAACTGGTTTATCTTTTTTATATAAAATTGAAACTTAGTCCAAATTCTTCTTGAATTTTGCATTTTATAATTAGTAAATTTGCCTTTTTGTGTGATTCGGCGAAACTCTCTTTAAATTTATGTGACTTTTCAATAAAGATGTTTTTTAGTTTACTAAAAATGAATTGATGTTCAACTTGAATACATTTTCTTTTCTTTAAAATTCAAAATCATTTATTTTTGTTGAAAAATTTCTTATTAGGTAAAAATTGAATAAAGATGCTTATTGTTCCGGAATTAGCACAATTTTGTGAATTATTAACAATTTTGTATATACGGTCACACTCTGTAATTTCAAAATTATCTTTGATATAGTATATTTACTCAATGTGGTGTATTTTTACCAGGTAGAATTTTTTTGATATATTGCATTGTAATTTCAGGCGCAGTTTCTTGAATTCTATACTAGTCACGGGAATTTCGTAAAATTCCCTAAATTTCTTTATAAATACATCTACGAGTCTTCCCTCCATATAATCACGCCCTTGCAAAAAATGTAAAAGGTTGTGACTGTATAGAGGTCAAATTTTCTATGCTTCACAATGTCCGGGATTGGAAAAGTGTTACTATATAGGAGGTGACTGTGTAAAGACCGTATTTGAGTTATCGTAATTTCTTTTAAAAGACAGATAAGGAGCAATTACACGCATTTTTTGTTGCAGTATTCGTCCTAATAGATTACATTTCTATATTAATATAACTTTAATAGCTTAGCTTAGATTTCAGACATAATAAAATGCATACCAATGTAAAGTGAGAAACTATTATAATAGGAAAAGGAAATGGTTTTAATGTTTGATACAAATGTCACCTAATATTGTACGCATAAAAAATCGATCATGAGGCATAATGCACCATTTAAATAGTAAAGGAAATACACATATTCATTGAAAATATAAAAGGGAAAATCGTTTCCATAATCTTTGGATATGTACATTAAACTTAGACTTTTTGGTTAGAAGGAAGAAGTAAAGTCATTGATTCTTTGTTTGTTTTTTTTATTGTACATTTATGAATGTTTGAATTGTGAATGGAAAAACAGGTATAAAACAGGTATATGTATTTTATAAATGTTTTGAATTTACAAGTACGGAATCGTTATTTTAGCAAAAAAAAAAGATTTTTCAAAGTCCAAGTTATCACAGCATGTTACACACAAAGGTTATTTAGAGTATTAGGTAGTAATAGTTAGTAATAGGTTATTATTAAAGAGACCCCATCTCAAAATTCCAATAACTCGCATCTTAAAGCAGTGACACGGGATCTATCTTTACTCGCCTGCTGTTAATTATCTGTTGTTGTCGTGTTATATTGTTTTAAAGGTGACTACTGCAAAAAAGCTGAATTACCGGTAACAAGCACACTCATCAATCAAAAGTAGTAAAATCGTGATGTACTATCATTATATCTAAACTACAAAAGTATATTTTAAAATTTACTTATTATTTTGAATTGTAACAATTCACCCCCCCCCCCCCCCATGTAAAAAGCGACTGGAGTAAATGTCAATAGTCTCGGTCCTCGACAAAGAATAAGCATCTCCCTGTTAGAGATTCTAAACCATGTCGCTTATTCCTGAAGAATAATTATACTGAAAAATAATCTTTTCTTCAGAGATTTCTGTTACAAATTAATAATGATAATTTTTACTAATTCAATTCTAGTTTATTGAATATCTAAGGCAGGTGCATTGAACCTTCATCTAAAAAGACTTGGGAAAAAAGATTAATCTGCTGACCCAGCAATTTATCGACTCTAATACACGAGTGACTGACATTTAATTTGTATCTAATAACTAGAATTCAAAAAATTTTTTTGTTCTCACAACTGGAAAATATATTTATTTATAAATATTTGCATGTATACATGTCGTAGAAATTAATAAGGTAGATTCAGAGTTTGCTGGCAGAAATGTAAAGATTCTTAATTGGATAATTTCTAAAAAATATGTTTGCATGTAAACCAAAATGTAAATATCACATTTATGTATATAATATTGCCTACTGTCTAACCCAATGTATAAGTAAGACGAAATCGGGAGATCGAGTACATAACTACGCGATTTCTTTGATCTCATCGTCTTAGAATTATCTTTGCCCAATTATTATTTCTCAATTAATCTAATCAGATCATAAACAAAGCCACTAACGATAATATTTAGGAACCAATTAGAAAACACAGTTCTATTCAATACAAACAAACATTAAATCATATTTGTCTTTTGTATTACGTTAATGTTAATACGCCCCGGTTTGGATACATTATTAAAAAACAAAAAAATATGCGAAGTCGATTAGTGTCATACATAAATGTTTGTTTGTTACTATGGAATCTCTTTTTTTATTGGTCACTTGATGGCGTTATGAGGGCACACCTATAATGTGCATATGTACTTGTCAAAAAACCCCTACATAGTAAGCCATCTATTGCGCCTCTCTTATTTGTTTACCCTGAATTCGATAGCCATTAAGCCATTAACCCATTTAACGCCTATAAAATTCTAAAATGATTTGCCACAAATTGTAAGATGCAGATTTATTTGTATTGCTTTTATTTTTTATGGATAAAAATAAATAAAATTTTTTAGGTTGCATGGGGCAATTTCTGTCAGAATCGTATAATTAATTGTTTATTATGTTTGTACATTTATGACCATTTAAATCCATGGATTTTATTTTATAGTTTTGAGCGTGAGAACATAGTATTAACGAGCAAATTTGCGAAATTTGATTTAACTTAATTTGGCTTAACTTAATTGGAAACAGCATCCTTGAATTCTCGTGGATTCGCCGTTGATTTGTGAAAAATCGATATATAACTCTCACTGATTTTCATCTTTACAAAAAATGCTTCCAATTTAGTTGATTACCTTTTTTTCTTACTATTTTGTTTTGGTAATGATCTCGCAACTAAAAAAAGCGCTATTGTTGACGCATATGTCACCTCTCTCTATATACACACACATATATATATATACTTATATACTAAAAGAAGATGATTTCCAAAAAAAGAATTGGAGATTTGTCGGTTTTTCCGCATGTTTTTTCAGAATTCGCCGAATCTTTACTCTGCAACTTTATAATATAATACCTAATTTTTATATTTATTTATATTTATATAATAACGTCTCATTTGTGCTCCTGTTTCTGCCGCAAATGTGAAATCGCGAGAAATGTCGCGTCAACTTCTTTTCAATCTGACATACAGTACATAAAATGTACAACATATACACATCTTAAATAACTATAATTTATGTGAGACTTTTCATGCTTTAACTAATGTAGACTCTATAGTACATGCTCGATACTAAATACAGCAGAAAGACAGTCGAAAAAAGTTGCAATGTTTGTTTTTGGGATAAGCTTTTCCAAAAACTACAAAAATGAATTATAAAAACGTAAAAACAAGCCACGATAGCAGTATTGATGCATACATTATCAGAGATATATGATGCGATCTTACGAATCCACGCGTCAATACATATGTTTTTTTATTTTTTTTTTAATTGTTATTAATACAAAATTTTATAAACGGAAAAATTATGTTTTCACGCAATCATCGGCACGCATTAATTTTATGCAATGAAAGCGCGGGGCGAACGAGTAGCGTGTTATTGAATGAGAAAATGTATGTTAATTCATCCCCTAATGGAAAACTCGATACGTATTTCTTTATGGTAGATTCCAATGCCGATCATTACTAGGTTTGACTGTATTTCTGTTTCTAATTAATATAAAAATTTTCCCCGATTATTATTGATATTATTATCTAAAATGATAATAATTGAAAATGTTTTATATTTGATCACGAATAACATGATGATTAATTAATTATATTAGTAATATAAAAATATCAAACGCCTCCTCTTTTCTCATTGATCACATAAAAGTCTATTCAAATAATTTACTTGCTTAATTATAATATAATAGTATTGTGTTATCCATTGCAACCAACTTCTCTGTGGTTACACCTCTCTATAGTCACCTACCAAAGATTTTCCATGGGTAGTGACTAAAAAATGATTGATTATATTATATACATGTAAATACGAAAAAAATGACGACAACTACAAATAGAATTTTTTATTCTTATGCGCCAGAATGTGTGCGATGCATCAAGTCCATCTTCATGAGTTTTTATTGCCGATTGTTGAACAGAAAAACGTGCAAATCATTCGGGTAAGTACTGAATGTCGAAGAGAAAAATACAACTACTTTTCTATATGGTTCCTTCGACTATTGTGAGACAGCCTTAGTATCGGAACCTCTGTTTTTTTCTTTGACATTAACATGCTATGTATGTTTTACCCAATTTCTTCCGATATATCAGAAGTCAATAATCAGTATTGCATTTTTTTTAACCACTAAAATTTTTCAGCCAATTAAATAGTGATGCACTGCCTGCAAAATCGCAAACATTCGTTCGAGACCTTATTTGAACTCAAAAATACTAACTTCACAATATATTGTTCTAAATAATTAAGGTGATGATTTACAAGCTTAAAAAATACTCTATATAATATTCCGAGTTCAAAAAAACTTAAGGTATGTATATATCTCTTTGCATAATTAACTGTTAGAGTACGAGCTTGCAAAATTACATATTTTACTCATTGTTGAGGAAATACAGTTTTATTTAATTCCCTAAAAATAATCAAATGAAAGTAAGGACCATCACCTACAAAAGACCGGTGACCTGAATGCATCTTATTTTTACTACTATTTAGTTCATATAAGACAGACCCCTGTCTAATAATAAATTTGATTTACCGATAAGATTTGATTTGATTTGTCAATTATTCTATGCAATTTCACCTGCATTGTGTACCCTCAATAAAGTATTTATTTTTTATATTAGATATTGAATCATCAAAATGTATATATATCACTGTACGGCACCTCTTCAAAACTGCCTTTTCTTCAGGCCCTATCCAAACTTTTTATTACTGTTTAATATAAAACAATTTATTTTAAAAATTCTTTTTTTATTATTCTATTCTTTCTCTAGATATTTTTTTCTCGATTGAAAAAAATACACATTTCTTTAAAATTTGCACTTAATATAAAAAGATATTCTGGATGAGTCTCAGCAAAATTTTTGCAGCTTTCACGGCTTCTGCTGCTGTTGAACCAACAAAATCATCATTATTATCAACTAAAACTTCAAAAGCATCACCACAACCAACAGCATCAATATATAAAATATCACCAACCACACAAATAACAGATAATAATATTGTAATAACACCAAACGGCGAATGTAGTCTAAAACGATCAACAGCAATTTTACGATCAAAAAATCAGAGACATAATTCAGTTCAAAGTTCGCCGCTACCTCGACGACAGAATCACGTCGAAGAACAACAGCCGCCACCGAATCTTCATATACAAACGACGGCAGCTAAACTTAACAGACTTCGTAAAACGCAAAGTAGTAACAGCATGCTATTTAAAAACCCACTTCGTCGTAATTTGAGTTCAACAAGTATACCAGTTGCTACAAATACAATAATTACATCACCACCGAGCCCGGATGCAACAGTTCCTCTTTGGACGGAACAAGTTGATGCTGAAACCAAGAAAAAAATGGACCCAGAAACAATTCAGCGTCAAGAAGTGATGTTTGAAATCATTCGAACCGAGAAGGAATTTGTCGATGATCTTCAGTACTTGTTAGATGTAAGTGTGTATGTTTCATGTGTGTGTACGTATGTGTATGTATGCGTATATGTATTTATGTAATGTATTGTCATTTTAAAATGATCCCTGCAGCATTATGTAACGGCAATCCAAGGATCTCGTATCGGTATCCGTCTACCAAATAGTCTAGTGCAAACATTTTCTGTGTTGCAGGAAATATATTATATGCATAGAAACATCTCGAGAGTAAGTTTATATATTTTTCATATTCCCTGTCCTTATCAATTTAATCTAATAAAATGGTGTTTATTATTGTAGCAATTACTTAATCTTCAGGCAATTTATCAAGTAGTTCCATCAATAACGGAAGCACTTAATAGCCTTGTGGTCAGCATACGTATATACGATAAATATCTTCTTTATCACAAAGCTGCCATATCGGAACTTGCAAATGCACGAAAAAAGGGTAATAAACTTGGTCAATTGGTGAATAAACTTGAATCTCATGTGACAACTGGCAGATATCGCTCACTTGAGAGCTTATTGACAAAACCCATTCAGAGATTATGCAAATATCCTTTATTAATCATGGTTAGTAGTACATTTAATCTTTAATTTATATCGTTTGTTATCATCCAAATTTTAATTAGCATTTTGTCTCGTAGACTCTTCTTCGAGTTACGCCGGAATTTTCGATGGAGCTTCCCATTAGAATAGATCATGAACAATTGAGTAAACTTCACAATAAACTGGATTGTGAAATCCGAGAATTGCAAGAAAGAAATGAACGTGCAAAAAGGGAGGAAAACCTTAATCGAAGAATAAATAAAATAAATAGTCTTGCGGTAAGCTCGTTTTTTAATCGATAATTACGTTCATATATTTATATTCTTCGTATTAATAGTATTCTTTTTATCAAAATTAGTTGATGGTTACGCGTCAAAATCGACGTCTCAGTATAATGGCAAGTACGCGGTGAAAGCACACCAGTATTCACGAGAAACACATTAAATTTTATCATTAGTTTCATGACGATAACACATATCTCGACTTGCAAACTCATCGCAGCTTTCTTCGGAGATTCATCAAAAACAAGAAGGATGGAATGGGTTGCGATTAAAACCATAAACATTTTCAACAATTGTCGCTTTCATCTCGTTTGTAAAATAAAAGTTTTTGGTTCACCTTTACTCTCGTAGTATATATTAGCACAACACTGCTTTTATTTGTATCTTTCCCCTTTTTGTATTATATTTCTAATAGAGGATTATATTATTACTATTGCTATAGCATTATTTCTGAAAAATACCCCTTTTATTTCCCTAATTTTACTCCATCCTTTTTTGATCCAAAAAAATTCTTGTATTTTATATTCCCTTTTATAATGCGTGTTTTCTACTTGGATTTTCTTAACGTTTATTAGAATTACTTTTAGATTTAGACTTAGTTTTTGTATTTTTATAACATCTTTCTTGTTCACACTCATCCCTTTTTACAGTAATTTGGTCACGTCGGCCGGACCGTCTATAAAGAGCAGTGCTTTTTCGTGATCTCGACGCTAAAAATTTTGGTTAGACACGAGAAAGAGGCGTTTTTTTCGCGCACCCTATAAGACTCTCAAAAATGTTTTCTTTCTTGTTAGACAAATTTTTTTGAAAAGCAGGATTTTTCTACTCCAATTCATTCATTCTCTGAAAGTTTTGTTGGTATCATCAAAACAAACTTTTATTTCTCTTATTCACTCCTTACCACTCTTATTTACGCATTCCATATTTTTATTTTTATGGAAAAACCATTCTCATCCTTTTTAAAATAAACCTAAACAACACCTTTACATCTAAGTTAGAGACAAATAAATCGAAACATTCCATTACCATTACTTTGATTATTCACCCTAGATAGTTAATAATGAAGATTAATAAAGAGGTTTAACTCTCTTATTTCTTTTTGAATTACTATTGTAACACGTGTATGCTTGTGTAATTATTGGCTTTTTTATTGAGAAGTCTTACGGTTTCAAAAAATAAACTTAGGATTAAAACATCTCTATTACTCATGTATTATTATATATCATATTTATATACTTAAATTTATAATATTATCAATATGCTTTATATGTATTTCTTTATTTTATATCTATAAATTATTCAAGACAAAGAAAAGGTTTTTTATGAATTTTATTATATTTTATTAATCATTATATTATCATTACATTATAATTATATAATTATTATTATATTATTATATCATTATATTATTTATTCTTATGAAACCGTAGACTCTTCTTTAATGCTCTGCATACACTCTTTGATGTTTCATTATTTTCTTATTTCATTAAAACAAAAACATTCAATGTTATTACCAAAATCTTTTTTTATCTCGCTTTATTTGTCTTTTGCGCGTTTTTTATCATAATAGTAATAGAAAAGATCTTGTAAATTTTAATTTATAAATAAAAATCGTATTAACCCTTTACATATATAGATTTATATATTACATATAATACATTGTTCAATGTAATAGATATTTAGCGTTAGATAATTGATATAATTAATAAAATTGTACATATTCAAGAATAATAACTTGTATGAAATGTGGGGAAATTCGGAAAAATTTGTGAATTGAATTGGTAATTTAAAAAAGAAATTCTGAAAGTGAATTAAAAACAATCTTCTGCTTTTGGAATACGAAGAAACACTAATAGAGAAGTATATTGATTAAGAATAAACAAACATACTATTCAATCCATTCCGATATGTCTCGGATCTTCATTTGCCAAACTTTTCTCCATAATTTTTCTTAGCGCGATAAAGGAATAGTTACCAGTAAACTTAATTCCGTAAATGGTGTTTGATGATTAAAGAGCAAACACATAAGAAATGCCTCACTTACATGATACTGGTCTGTATTACGCGTTTTTTCCCTATCAGCAGGTCATGTTAGTTACTTCCCTCAAATGTAAATTGCCATTGTCATATCAAAAATGGGGTTTTGAAAATCCACCATAAATGTTACGATAATAATACCAAACATGTATCATTTAGCATTTTATATTGAAATTTAATTTTGAAGTTTTTATTCATAAACTTAACATGTTTCTGTGCAATGTCTCGCAATAAATGCCATGCTATTTTTTCTTTTTTGTTTGGTGGACTATTTCTGGTTCATACTTGTTTGACATTTACACGGGTATTACGATATTTTCATCGAATAATCGATTTCGACTATCAAACTTTTTGACTAATATTATTCGGGAACAAATTAATTGCCCGTTAAACTATTGTTGAAGTTGTGTACAGGACCCTGCATAAATTTATGCAACACTATAATCCATTGATGCAAATATATTAGATATAAACACCTCTTTTTGGATTGATGCATTTATGCAATTCATACAAATAACAGTTCACAAATTATCCCAGTCCGGGAAAGCGTCACTTCAATTCCCCGATCCTGTTTGGTGTCTTACGCTCGGACTCAAATTTTCTTTTTATTATGACCCTTTCTTGGGGTTTTGCAGTTTTGAATTTTGATCCACGCTTACACAGTACAATGAAATTTCGGCAAGCAAATGTATAATAATTGTTGGACAGATGAGTAGAACAATGCACAAAGTTGAAAAGATGCTTTTTTCTTACGACCGACTTATTTTAATCAATCTTGTGGAGACGGAAAAACGCCTCTTAAAACATCACAATGAGATTTGATTGGTGTTTTCAAAATTAATCCTGCCATATATTCATTCATTCTATTATTCACCCTTAAAACTTTTAATTATTATTGAGCAAAAAAAAGTTCGAAAATAAAAGAAAATGTGCATAATCTGAATAAAATCAACAGATGAATGCTCTCTTGTTATTTGTTAAACATAACGCAGCCCACCTTAATAAGACCTTGTCTTTGCAATGTTGCAATGCAAACGTTTCATCATGATTTATCTTTGTTTAGTTAGTCAAAATTGATGTGATTAAATTACGTAGTTATGAAGTATCTACATGAGGTAAATTTTGCAAACGTTGCAAAAAAGAATTTGTAAATTACGAGATAATCCAATTTTTCTCGTCAGTAAATATCACAATACGATTAAACTTCTTTGTATAAATTAATATGGATGGCGTCATACAAGCATTGCATACAAGAATGTTCGTTTTATTATATTGTTATACGTATGTTTTTTTGCCGCGTTCTAAAATTTCGTGATAATATGCGTAAATAAAAAGCGAATCAAAAAGTTAATCACTCTAAGAGGCAGCTTAAAAAGAAATGCGCGTTTTAATAGATATACATGTTTTCTATGTCATCTCATAATGAAAAAAAATTAATGACAAAGAACCCGAAACTGAAAGAAATGTACTTATCTAATCAAAGCAACCTGAATATTATAAATTAGAGTCTTCAATGACAATCTTTGCTATTACTTAGAGAGGGGAATTTCGCGTTTCTGTACAACTGCATATTTTGTTCTTGCGAAAAAAACATGATACAGTTATACAAAGCACATTTAGTTTCATGTTTGTGGTACCCACATGTGTGTATGAAAAAAAGATACTATATTTCGACTACGAAACATCAGTATGATGCCAGCTGGCTAACTAATTGGCGTATTTTATAAATTTAAAGGATGATTACACAGGCAACAAGTGTTTAATTATGGTTATATTCTTTAATTTAAATGCTTGAAGCAAGCTTTTTGATTTGAACGGAAAATTCGAGCAATAACAAAGAAAGCATCGTCATTCAAAGATCGGAATTTCTGTAGCCTAAATATGAAACAGTTCCTTTGAAAAAATTTGCCGTCTACATATGAAAATAGTATTGTCTTAATTAATTATCAAGAATTGCATTGGCACACGTATCTAAATTATCAAAAATACATGTATAGCACAATTAATATGAATAATTTATATTACTCTGTGATAACAACTCAATAACTTCTGCAAATTTACGATCTGCATTTTGAACGTCCTAAACAATTACAGCATACCAAATGTAGTAATAACCAAATCACACTGGATTTTTTAGTAATTCGTTCTGGTCACGTGAAAGACCGGGACTGAATGAAATCAAAGTTAGAAACATGAAATATAAAATATAATTTAAAAATACAATCTAAAATTTTTTTAAATCAAATATTTTATACTAGTTATCAAACTATTTAATGAAAAATAATATAATATATTAAATAATATTATTTAGAACTGATATATTTAATATATATTATATAAAACTTAATATAGTAATAATAATAAAATTAAATTTATTAATAAAATAGAAAATTTTTTATATTAAATTATAATTTAATTAATAAATATTTTATTAAAAGTTGATATAATATAGAAATTATAATTAAATAATTATCTAATTCTGTTTTAATCTTTTAATAATAATTCAAAGTTATATTTATTTTAATAAATTAATATATTAAATTAGTAATAATTAGTTAATATACTAATTTTTTTGATTATATTTATATTAAATTTGTAAAAAATTTTGAAAATACAAATTTTAAAATATAATTTATTCTTTTTATAATTATTTTCTATATAATCACAAATTTTATATAGTTATATTTTTTTAATAATTATTATTAAATTACTTTTTTTATAAATATAATTAATTTATAATTATTATTATACTTTTTTAATAATAATATTAATAAAATAATTCTTATATACCATATTCTCCTGGAAATAAGCACCATTTTTTGGACTCAAAAATAGGATTTCTAGAATACTTATCAGAATTTATCCAAGAATAAGTATTACTCAATCAACACAGTAAATGAAGATGATGATTATTCCTGAGCAGTTTTCATATATGAGATATGTAACTCTTATTTATTTATTATTCTCAGGTGGTGCTTATTTCCAGGAGAATACGGTAGTTATAATATTATATAAATTTTAAATTAATTAATTATATTTATTTATAAATAATTATATTTAATTAATTAATTAATTACTTATTTATCTTAATAAA